GATTGTGCCGCGGATGCTTTGGCATCCACCTTGGCCTTCAAATATAGCTATGATAAGGTTGTCAGCACAATCCCCAAGTTTGGTGATTTACATGGAACCACCAGTTTTGCAGGACATCTTAAGGGTCGAACCTCTGAAACCACATGTCCATCGTGTGGTTTGGGCCGCCGCCTGAAAAGGTGGCGGTCCGTTTCGCCCAGCCACGTGCCGTGAGGAGCGACTGGAGTTGATCGCTTCCAAGAGCTTCGCGAGGATGAGCTACACGGAGGCGGTGGAGGTCAGGAGGAGCGCGCAGACTGGCACCGGCAGGACCAGCAGTGACTGGGACCAGTGGATGGCAGAAACAGTATGCCAAAGGCTCCATGTAATGGAATCATCAGTTCTACATTGACCCATGAAACCACCTCAATGTGTGTATAATATGACGTTACATGGAGCTTTTTTTAAAGAGAGGATATCAAGACAAAGCCAGCAACACATGCCTAGCAAGGCCCAGCACGGTGAACACTTCGAGCAGAATAGCCAAAATAGGTCTAGTTGGAGCTGGTTTTGTGGTTGAGGTTTGGGACCTGTGTTTGGGAGTTGGCTGTGCCTTTGCCAAGACGTAAGCATACGTCTCACTCATGAAGCTTTGTGCCAGGTGCTGCAGAAGCACATTGAGCAAGGGGACGTGAAGTTCGTCCTTTGGCATGTGATGGTTTTCGGGTGGAAAGAGGGGCCCACACGTGCGGTGTCGAGCATGGTTTGTTGGGGCCGATCGCCGTTTGAGGCTCCAAGCTATCTCACCCCAATGATCCAGTCGTACCTTCTCAGGTACGGATTCGGACGGAGACTATTGATGTAGGCGCCAGGGTCGGGCTCCAGTCGTACCTTCTGAGAAAGTGGCAGTGGATCCCTACCAAGAGAGGTTGAGAGACCTTATAAGACCCTGGTCTGTGGTACATATGGAATGGGCTATAAGCTATCAGGCTGTTCAACCTCTCTTGGTAGGGTCAGAACTACTTCACCTTGACCACCATCTCAAACTGTGAAGTGGCCATGGGTCCCATTGACAAAGCCCAGCGCATGGAGAGACCTCCTTTCCCTGCTGCGAACGTCGTGAGGCCGTTTAGGGCGCGCTTGGCCCCAAAAAGGCTCCACATCACAATTCCCACTGCCTTCACTTGATTTTGCTTGGGACTACTTTTACTTTCCTATGCCTATGCGTGAACCCCCTTTTGGGGGAAGATGATTTTCTCATTTTTCACCTGTTCCATGAGCAAAAACCAACGTCCACAGTCCCCAGGAATTCGAGGTGGCTTGGGGCAAGGAGCTTCAAACAGAGCATGAGTCGCTGGCCATGGGAAGCGGCGAAGCAGGTGGCGGGAGGTGTGCAGATATGCTCGAAGTGAGGAGGGCAGGAGCTGGCTTTGTGTAGATGGCCAGAAACTCAGAAACTCAATGTTTTCTATACATTGGGATTATTGCAGGGTAGTTACAGGGGTTTCTGTAGGTATGGTGTATAGATATATATATATATATTGGTATTTGGTTTGTGGCAGGCATGAGTCATTATGGTCCCCAAAAATGAAAAATGAGTTGCTCATTGGATTCTTTTCAGACTGTCGATAGTCTTGGAAGCCTCCGCACATAGAACTGCAGGTCAACATGATAGAATCAGTTGGCATCTTCTCGCACACCCTAGGGATCCAGTCGTACCTTCTCAGAAGGTACTTGGAGCTTCCAAACCTACATAACAGTGTCTCCAAGCATCGTACCTGAGAAGGTACGACTTGATCCCTAGGGAGAAATTCAGTCCAACTCCGAGTCAGATGTCTTCACCAGCCCAACTCGACCCATCGCAGTGTTTCTTCTCGACCCCCGACCTATTTGGCGACCTGTCCGGTAGATGGGTGCCTCTGAGGCGCTTCTTGACCGATCACGTGTGCAAAGGCCCTGTGATTGTGTACAACTACCCGAAGGCCTGAGCCCTGACGAGTGAAGGCCTTGGGCCCTTCTGATCTCGCTTTTGGCGCCATCTGATTTCAGACGAGTCTTTCCATCTGTGAGAGGATGGCACACCTGGTGCTTGGGAGAAAGATGCACCTTGGAAGCCCATTTCCAGAAAGAAGATGAAAGAAGAGAATGGTCACTTGGAAGCCCATTTCTATCCTCGATTCTCCATGTCTATCCATGTAAGATCATGTAATTAAGCAAACTATGGCATATAGGTTTGGTTTTGTTGCTGGTGAATGTATTTTATAGTGGCTTACATGGAGCGTTTGGGTATGATGGATCGAGACGGCTGGAAAATAGTTGCAAAAGCTCACCCGGACCTTTCGACATAGCTAGAACTTGTGGTACCATGCCGCTGGGCACAAATCAGCAGAAAAGGACCAGTTATATGGCTGTGGGTCAAAACATGGACCTACTCCTTGGTAGGTTGACCTCTTGTAGGTCGTCTATTCTCCTCATTTTCAGTGGTCAACCGGGGTCCCTCTGTTTTGACCCACTGCCATATATGTGAAACACACAGGAGAGGGGAGCTGGCGATCGGGTAAAAGAAGAGGAGAAGGGATTGAATGCCAGCAAACTGAGTGGTACAGAGGGCACAGTCTCTCAACAGAACGCCTCCAAACAGCAGACGAGGACCCCAGCAAGGTCTGTGTCTTTCCGATTGGTTTCAGTGGAAGGAGTTGAACAACAAGAAGAACCAAACACATCTCGCCCAAATGCAACCAGCATGGAGTTCTGGACGATTTGGAGCCGAAACATCAAGGACCGGTGACATCCCGTGGCTCACGTCTGACAGGAGTGCAAGGCCTTTTACATGCGCCTCAATGAGGATGGGAAGACCGTGGCAGCCATGGATGTCCTGTGCCCAGGTGCCCAGGGCAGCGAATCTGGGAGTGGGTGGGTCCAGGAAGGACCAGTCCATGTGGCTGCCCGACCGATGACCAACCTTCAGGCGCCGGAAGTACCTCCACGGCCCGAGCGAGGTCCGAACTCCAGCGACCGACCGCTCGATCCGACCCGCTTCGACGCGACCCGGCGAGGCATCGGGGAGCTGGTGGGCGGTTCACAGCGAGAAGAACGCATGGAGGTGAGGAGCTGCCGAAGATGTATAGACTCTTGATTCATGTATCCATCCACTTTTTGAAGTGCAAGAGTCTACATGATATCCTCTTCAAATTTCATACGAGAGGTTTATGAATCAAGAGCCTACAGATGGGGCTGGCGCCAGAGCCTTTTGGGCGGAAGAATGGTGGTCCCAGGGTGGCCTCGCCCAGATGAACCTTGCTGCTAATGGAAGAAGATACACCTCCAAACCCTCCCGACAGGTGCTGTAGGTTGGTTTGGAGTGCAAAGCAGGAGTTCCAAGTTGGATTTTAGATCCTTCGTTGGATCATGGGGCCCATCTACAACCATTCTACACCCAATACACTCCTTGAATAATCATGGAAGTGGAAAAGCCATGTTTTTGTAGAGGGGCATTTTCCTTGATTACCTGGTTTTGCTTAAGGTGATATGTGTTTATGTTCCCCATGGGTCAACATCCCCTGCATCTGGTGAATATGTGTTGTGTGTGTTTTCTCCAGCTACCTGGACAGCAAATCCATGAATTTCATGACGTCAGATTGTTCGGTTCAGCTTGGGTCGGATGAGACTGGTGTTCTCCACGCCCTCGTGCGTCCCGTTGTGAGGCATGATGTCAGGGGGTGCCATCAGCTGATGATTTCATTCCGAACTCCTGACAGGTCTTAGATGAGCGCATCGAAGCGTCGGCGAGCCCGGCGGGCGTCGGGTTCCGTCGGGATCGAGCCGGGCATTCGGTCCATTGAAGGGAGTTCGGTCAAGAGTCAAGAGAGGTCATGCAATTCTTCAGGTGTATGTACCTTTTTCTTTCTTGGGGAAAGTGTTGCGAAAGGAACTTGCGAAAGAAGAGCCCATTAGGACATATTCTCGATAGGTTTTGAGCAATGCTCAGGTGTAAGTACTTGTTCTTTCTTTGGACAGGTGCTGCCTGGAGGTTTTCTGCTCATCCGTTCTCATCAAGCCCTCCAAAGTGTGGACATGTGTTGCGCATAATTTCGTTTGAACATGCAAGCCCTGGTTTTAGTGCTGGCAATTCAGGATGATTTGCAGTACCGAAGACTAACATGGACTGACAAGCACTGGTTAGCCAGAGAAAGGCATTCTTTCAGGGAGCCTTTCTCGGGTGCCTTGTTAGATTTTCGGGACTGGCCACGCAGGAGTAAGTCGTATGCTTTGCCCAAGGGCGTCGACTTGGTGATTGCGCCCATTCGGCTGCAGGAGGGGCAGTATGAAGCACCCAAGCTGATGAGGTAAAGCAGATGAGCTGTCCAAGTACTTGTGGATGTAGCCCGATTGATTTTTCTCCGAATACTTCCCAGTGAAGCACTTGGACACACTTGGAAGATTGAAGCTGATTTCTGGACTCCGGGACAGGTTGAATAGAGAGATTATCTGAGGCGCTTGGAATGCAGCAGAATTACAGAACTATACACACTGAAGACCTCAACCCCTAAAATGCTCAATCACTGTAATGTATAGGTATAGGTGTTTTCCAGTTCTTTTTGCACTCCAGAAACCATCCTTCTCCACAGAATCAGGCGGATAGGATCCGTCCTGCGCGCCTTTTTGGGCCCGTTTTGGCCCACACCTCCCACTTCAGCTTGCAAACCACCAGCAGAATCCCCGCCATCACAGTGCCGCGCGTTTGCCATGGCGGCTGACATGACGGCAGCTTGAGTGGGCTGGGCCTGCGCGGAAACCCGCAGGCGCGGCTTTTGGAGGTAGAGATGCCTAACAAAAAGCTTTGCAGGTCAGCCCTGCAGGTCATGTAAGTACCTTCTGAGAACTTGGTTTCAGACACGTTTATACATTTTTATATTCAACCTTTACAGGTGATTCATCCCACTGACTCATGATTGTTCATTTGAAACACGTTGAAACCACCAAGGCCTTCAGAGCCCGTGTGGAGCACAAGCGGCTGTGGAGTTTTGGGGTGATTCCTCCAGTGACTAAGACATCTTGCTTTGACCCGAACACTGGGGCCGTCAGTCCCCTGGTGGGCGGTCCGTCCCCTTGGTTAACCGAAGCTACGAACGACCACAACGCATCTACGAGCCGGCAAACGGGTGGTCCATCAGGACGGTCCAACCAGGACGATCCACCAGGACCGCCGTCCACCCCACCGCGTCCTGCAGATGCCATGCTCTTGACCCTCCTTCTAACGTTCAGCATCGATGCGGCGGTGGTGCCGCGCTGAGCGTTTTGGCCCGCTTTCGGCAGCGTTTCGGCACGCGCTGAGTGCAGTTGGTTGCGATGCACTCAGGTGCCTCTGGGAGATATGCCTTCTTGTAAAGGGCGATGTGGTCTGCTGCAGACACTGGGGCTGCATGAACAGTTGTTTTTTTGGGGGGAGCTTCGGAGAGCTTCGGGATGTGTGTTGTCATTTCAGGTTTTAAAATGCTTTTGGGGTGGATGTTCGCCCTCCAAATGCCTTACAGAGGACTGGATGCCTGAAGACTTGGTCACTTCTCCTATACACTCCTCGCAGGAGTCATGGTGACATGGCATGGTCCCGAACGGATGAGGATGACTTTCTGACCTTATGCCAAACAGCAGGTGATTTTCACATGTGGTCTCTCGCTCCAGTACCCCGTGTACATCATACACCTTAAAGCTTATCAAAGCCTACATCATCCGTTCGGGGCCATGTTCCAGTCACCCATGATTTCAAGGAGTGTACATCCCAACATGTCCCCTTCCAACTTACGCGCCAGCTATGCGCACTCCGCCTGAAGTCCTGATACTCTTGGGCCCCAAAGGGAACAAGGCAAACTTCCGATTCGCGTGGCAGAATGCCCAAGGACTCCATCAAAACCTGAAACGCTCCGCAGAAGTAGTTCCTTATGCTGAAGGTCACCTATACATGGAATAGTTATTGTACTAAATGCGTGTTTGTATTTGGACCCTAGAAAAATGGATCACTTGGCACTAGAGACCCCTTTAAAACACACACACACACACAAATTGGACCGATCCCAGTGGCCTAACTTGAGATCCCAGTGGCGGGTTCGGTCACGAACAGTTCTTGAACAGTTCCCGCATACCAATCCTGAAGAGGTCAGGGGGGGAGGTCCTGGTATATTCAATTTCACGGATCAGTTCTTTATACCTGGACCCGACTTGGTTCGTAGCCTACCGGCACATGACCCGAACCAACAAACAGGTGCAAACATGCCATCTAATATGTTACCCATAGTTAACCTACTCATTCCGAGGTACGTTCACAGGGGGGACTCCCTCCAGGTCATATGCTCCCCAGGTTTGGTGCACCAAAGAAGACCGATTCGGCACCCCCCGCGGCCGGTTTTGCACGGCCGAGGCCGGGCCAATCCTGTCAATGCACCAGCGGCTTGGCCCCAATGCACCGGCCTTCCACGTGTTTGACGTGGGGTTCTGGGGCAGGGAAGGCAACAAGGATGTGAAGGTTCAATCCATTTGGAGTGGAGCGGCATATCCTAAGGGGTGGACAGTTTCATGAACCTTGATTTTGGAAAAAGGTGCAACTGAAGGGGGTCAGTGACTCTGGAGTGGAGGGAAAATCTGTCAGTGGACACCCGAAGCCTTGGTTTCTGACACCTGCGGCCTTGGTTCAGACTGGAGCGTCAGACTGCTGACATGAAATCCACCTCACTTGGCAGAGAGCACCCAGCGACACCCGGCAGGCTGCCGACTCTTCTCAGCCCCTCCTGAGGTTGGTGTAAGGAATTTGAGAACTGCCCGGGACCCTCAGATCGACGGTGCCATCCCAGATGGATGGATCATGATGTATCTAAAAGAATATGAGAGAATCACATGGGTTGGGAGAAGCATGGCACCTGACTGGATCATGGGTGTATGATGTGCACCGAACGGTCCTTACGAATCATGGGTTATCATGGTGATCCACTCAGGGCCATGCAATCCACGATTCTCCATGTGTGTTCCGAGAACGTGCATCTGTGATTTCTGGAAACGTGCGTCGCGTGGCGCACGTGAGGTTTGGTGAAACCTGGTTCGGCTTGGAGCCCTTGAAATGCATCTTGAAATGGTTTTCCGCTTTGGTTGGTCTTTTTCATGTTTGCGTAGTCTTCCCGATGTTATTTCTGCCTGCCGTGAGAATCATCAAGCCTTCCTTTAGAATTCAACATGGCCATAGATGGGTTTCCATAACGTCATGTCGTCACATTCTTCTGAAGCCCAGACCATCCTGAGTCCTGATCCCGCCCCCGCCAGGCTGTAAGGATTATTACCTGTGTCATCAACATGGTGGGGCTGCCGGGTGCTCAGCGATGAGGCTGGAGGCAGCGCCCAGAAAGCGCAGAGAGGGACATATAGTACGTGACCTTAACTCACCTGGGGGGACCCTATAACTCACCTGGGGGTACCCTACTGGGAGTTCGTTATTCTTTGGGGGTGGTCTTGTCGAGCGCCGGAGATGCCCAGGGTTTAGAGTAGCCCTAGTCGGAAGATGTGACGGGGAGGTGGGCTGGACACGTGGCAGACCAGTCTTTTCACGAGTCGTTCCTGCCATGACGTCGGTGCATCAAAGAGCTTTTGGGTGCACTGACAAAGAGTTGGTGAAGCCAATTTTGGATACTGAGGCGAGAGCAACCCTGCCCCCGATGACTCTGCCACCCACCACCCTGCCACCAACCACCCTGCCACCGACCACATTGCCACCTACCACGCTACCACCCACCACTTTACCACCCACCACATTACCACCGACCACCCTCCCCCCGACCACCTTGCCTCCCACAACACTGCCACCCACAACGCTGCCACCGACCACCCTTCCCCCCACCACCCTGCCACCCACGACGCTGCCACCGACCACCCTGCCGCCTACGACGTTGCCACCCACTACGTTGCCACCGACCACACTGCCCCCAACCCAACCACCTTCGTCACCACATATAGAAGTTCACACTCCAAAGCCGACAGTGACTTGGCTGGATACGACCTGGAGCAGAGACGGGGGGCTGATGGACCAAATCCTTTTGTATTTGGTCATTCTTGAGATGCCTAATTCAAGTACCTTGATGGTCCTCAGGCGCGCTCTTCGACTCCACCTCCTTTTGGTTTAGTGGGATGTCTTACTGAGCCACTAAAGGTTAAGCCTTTAGCGAAAGAACATGAAAGAACACGAAAGAACTATGGACAGCCAAGGTGCATTGTTTACATCGCCGATGTGCGAGTAGATGTTCAGATGGTTCTCAAACCATGAGAAGTGTCGGACCATTTTCCCGGTTGCAAATTCTCATGCGCTGCATGTATGGAATATACATTGACCCACCAAACCACCCTAATGTAGACATATATGGCAGTCCCATGGAGCGTCTGGGATTTCTTCTGCTAACTCCGGGAGTTTCGTCCAATAGACTCCCCTTCTTCACTCCACGTTAATGGATAGGTGAAGATGGGTGAAAACAATTGAAAACCAGCGTTCCAAACTTAGTTTGGGCTTGTCACAGTTCAACACACTCCTTGATTGTCAGATTTCGATACACTGTTTGGAACTCATCAGGGACGTGGAGCTCCACCTGTTTGGTCTTCGGATTTGCAGGGTCCTTTGCGGAGGGGCCATGCCCACCAGTCGGTCCGTGATGAATTGAGCCAGCAGATCCACCCTTACTTTTTATATGATATGCTCCAAATTGAGCTATGTTGGCAATGGGGCATAATCATACTGCAGACTACGTGCGATAGTGATGCGAGCGATAGTGAACAAAGACATCTCACACTCAGTGTTTGGAGCTCCTCCGGACGAAAAAATCATACGCCTCTCCTTCTCAATCCCTCTTCCCCACCAACAGAGGTTGAGGGACTCTATAGACCATCCCATAGGTACCCCAGTAGGGTCCTATAAGGTCACTCTACCTCCCTTGGCAGCTTGAACCTTCAAAATGAATGGATGTCATGACATTATATAATACTTCATCACCCCCTGCTACAATGCAATAGAAGGAGCCCAAGGTGCCTCACCGACACGGGGTTCTGTTTTTGCTTCGGACAGAACTGTGCAAGAGAGATGAGAATAGCATGCAGGTCAAACAAAAAAACACTCTCCACCGGCTGCAGGTCCACCAAAAGAAACAAGCAAACTCCCCATCATTCGGGTGATTCAGGCATCCTGCGATAGATTCCATCCCTCGCTTTCGTCGTCATTTTCTTCCCGCAGCTTCAACTCAGGTGACCTTCACCACCTTAACCACCACCAGTTTGACCACTCTGACCACCACCAGCCAGACGACCCTGAGCAGTACGACTCAAAGCAGCACGACGCCAAGCACCACCACGGCCACATGGCGCATGAAAGCGGATTTGGAGTGTAAGAATATGCATATATATAATATAATATATATATATATGAACATCTAGTAATAGATACATATCCTTAGGGGCCCAGGACCATCCTGAGGATGATGAGGATGTCCTTCGGCCCCAGTTCGACCATTCTTTTGAAGTACGAACTCACCTCCAAGACCATCCAAAAAGGAGGTACCTGGACCCTATGGATATATATTGGGTATGTCGTAATACCTGCAACAGTCAGTAAACAATTACCACTATTTTTGGAACAAGGTCTTTACTCACCATCATCATCCACTGTTACTGCTAATGCGATAGACCCAATATCTATAGTCTATATATATATGTGATATTATGTATATAATAAGATGTCTTTCATTTTTTGTGCTTTTGTTGAATCTGCTGGAAGGACCCCACGCCAGCCGCTGGACACCCAGGTAGTGCAGCAAATGCAACTCCCAGGTACTGGTTTGGAGAAGACTGCCCACTTGGTACTGCTTGTATGGAGAAGACTCCCAGGTACCGGTTGTATGGAGTTCTATACATCTCCCACTTGTACCGAACCTGAGCCCTTGGTCTTCCATGTGTACTTTTTCTTGGAAGGGTTTCTGAACTTGACAACTCAAGGGCCGCACCTGTTTCTAGCTCTCGAAATGAAATGCCTTCGGTGTTCACACCGGACTGATCCAAGAGACTGAGAAACGAACATCAAAAGAACCTTCTGAGGTTCGGTGGGACTGGGGTGGGTGCCAGGGTCCAGTCGTACCGAACCTGAGGAGGTACGAAAACGGATCCGGTTCTTTTCCATGGCTTCCCACGGTCTTCCCACCATGAAAACGAACAAAGAACCCTCTTTTCCATGAACAACAATGACAATAGACTGAACTCCAACATGAATGGCCTGCGCAGCGCAGTGTTTTTGCGGTTCCCACGGTCTTCCCACCACGTGTCTCCACATGTCCACCATCCTCACCCAGTGGGTCAAGAACCGACCACTACACACACGACGCGATACGTGCTGTGTTGGACCAGGTGTTGGCTGTGGAATGGACCTCTAAGGGGAACCGAAGTGGAAAGAGAAGAGAAGAGTCACTAGAAGAGTCACCACTCTGGGACACCTGTGTTGTTGCGTTTGATTGATCTTTGCAGGCATTGGATTAGATATTGAAGTGCTTAATTACGGCCCATATCACTGAACAGAGGGCCCTATAGGTGATGGACAAGATGGTTCATTTCGGACACTCCTAATAACCTAAGATCTCAGAGGCATGGTACCCCTCTACCAGTAAGAGTCGGTAAAGGTAGGCATGTTCCCTACCTAACCATTGTCATCCATTGGGCCCTCGCGATATCCCGTGATATACGCTCACTGGAACTAACATGGAAGTGGAACACCCTCTGTTTGTAGAGGAACATGGTCTTCCAAGGGGCCATTTTCCACTTCCATGTTAGTTCCAGGAGTGTACCCTAAACTGGGAACCCTGAAGAATCTTCACTAACCACGCGGCTCTTGTGGAGGTGGCGGGGTTACTCATGTCAGTGTATATCTCAGAACAGGAAGACCAACAGAACCTTTTTGTGACCTCTAGTTTGGTCCACCAGCCACCCAATATATGGTCCAACTTCATATTAAAGTTCTAGAGGGAGACACCCACATTCTGTCACCGCACTCACCGAGGTCAGCAGTACCACAGTCTCCAGCACTAGCTGGACCACTGTGACGAGCACGACAGTGAGCAGTACCACACGGACCAGCAGTAGCGACTGGGATATGGATGTGGCTTTAAAAAAAAGGTAAGATCCACAAGCTCATTTGCAGGTTTTGAGTCATGTTATCCATTTACCAACGACTTTAGGGGCACCCTATTTGTGAGCCATAGTGTGCCATAGCATGCCAGATGTTTGGATGCGGATTTAGATGTTCTAGGACTGCATGAATATAAGGGGCAAACATGTCAACCGTGAATGTTCCTCTATAAAAGAGCCATTTGACTCTTTAAAATCTAAAATGCATTTGGAACCCTCACTTTTTGTCGAGGGTGTGCAAAAATTGTTCTTGATGCGTTTTGATTCGACTTGGTAGTTGAGGTGAGGAGATTTCCGGTGTCCATGTTTTTCTCCTTGTGCATGGGAGCCCGCTCTTGGGTGTGTGTGACCTTGAAGTTTAAAGACTACCCTCCGTCCAACAAAACAACATACATGGAAGTGGAACAGGATCCGAAAGGAACACGGTTTTCCTCTGTCTAGTAACAGGCCATTTGTCCACCTCCATGCTTGTTTCAAGGGAGATTTGATGTTGCCCTACTGAGGTAAAGGTCCATTGAATTCCTTTTTCCACCACGATGTTTTTTGTCCGATTCGACCCAAGAAACCATTGTTGCACTTATATTGTGACAAGGATTTTGCACAGTTTTAAGGACCGTTTGAGACCGTTTCCCTAACAGTCAGTTGTCTATGCTGTTCATGTTCGGCTGGAAAAAACCGGGGGTCCCACATCCGTCTTGGACTCCAAGTACCTTCCAAGAAGGTGTTTGGGGTGGGTTTAGGGGGTCCAAACACCTTCTGAGGAGGTACCTGGAGCCCGGAGGTCCGTCTTGGACTCCCAGAAAAGGGATTTCGCACACTGAGACGGTCAGGCACCACCACTCGCACGACCACGAGCCGGACAACGGTGACCAGCACCAGTAGAACCACGTGGCTGGGCACCGGTGGTTGGAAGAGCTTGGCAGAGGTAACGTTGTGGAAGAGCTGTTCCGGAAGAGGCCCACATGAAGAGTCCTTGTGATTCATTGGGTTGGTCTCAGAGGAGTAACGTCTTCCGGTCCATGCCGTCAAATTCCATGTGGCGGGTCTCTTCCCAGGTGTAGCTGTGAAGCTTGGCTTACGCATCCAGCTTGGCCTTTTGAGGGACCCCTTTGGGGCTTGAAGGGAGGCCCCCCAGTCACAAATGCCAGAAGGCTTTGTTGAAGAGGGACCAGAAGGCCTATGGAAGTACTCCCAAATCCCAACCAGAAGCACCATCACTCGTGGGGAAAAGCGGGTGCGGGCCCCGTGAATGGCATCGCTTGTGTATGCTACACTGGGTGAACCCAACGCATGGATTTCGTTGGACAGTTTGTGGAGAGGTCCCAACCAAGGGCGCTTTGCAGATGAAGCTTGAGGGTTCCAATTGAACTTGCAACATCTTGAATTCCTTGGTGGGCTTAGCGGTCTGAATACGACACTGGTGAGTAGAAAGTTCAGGAGGTAGAAGTTCCAGAGTCACTACCATTCCGCAGAGTTTCCTTGGTCCAAATTCACTGTTCAAAATATCTTTTCGATGGTGCCCAAGTTCTATTTCCGGCAACAAACTTTAGAACTCATGCATTCTAGATGTCCAACCCACCTGTGGTACCAAGCATGACTGGAAATGCAAAAACATGTGCCGAAGCTGGTAGCGAAACTGGCAAATGGCCACTCACTGCACGGGCTTCGCACCAAATCTTCGTTAGATTTTCCGGCCGCTGCTTCATTTTGAGAGTTCAATGTTGGCCAACGATGGGGGGTTGATGCAACATGAGCGAACTGAACCGCATCCTTCGCTCCACAAACTGGTCATGTCAGACTGTAAGACCATCTCTGAGCAACAACTGAAACCAACACTAATTTGTGATGAGTGGAAGCATTAGGAGAGGATGTCCTACACCTGCACCTGCTCCTGTGCACCTGAGCTGAGCCTGAGCTGTACTAAGTGCTCACCAGCCTAGGTTGACGAGCACCAGTCTCACCACGGTCACCAGCACCAGCATCACTACGGCAACTTGGATGACTTGTTTGACGGTTTGCCATGTGCAACATGGGTGCTCATGGGTTGCATCAATTGACGGAAGAGTTCTGATGTTTATTTATTTTTGAATGGGGTACCTGGCGAAGTCATCGTTTTGACTGATCTGGTTTTGCTTAAGGTGTTTTTCCCCTATGGGTAAATCCAATTCTTGGGAATATGTTTCAAATTCCTTAAGCAAATCCCAGTAACTTGACCCGCTGACATTGAGTTTCCTACTTTGGGGATGTAGGTTCAGCCTGCAGGCCGCTGACGCCGTGCAATATATAAGTCCATCAAGTTGATAGACCCTCGTATGTTGCACAATGTTGCACATGTCATATGCAAAAGGTGGCCCAATCAATGACACATGTTCCCTTAGTTCTTTTCCTGTTTGCTGATTCAGAATCCAGACCATCCACACTGGGGTTCTTCCCGGTTCAGTAGTGGAACACCCTAGGGATCCAAGTACCTCCTCAAAACCCACATACGAGTGTCTCCAATCACCTTTTCCTTTTCAGAAGGTATTTGGATCCCTAGGGACAGTTAGAACTTGCTTGAAAAACCTTTACACCCGACCCGACCCATCTCTTCAGACTCTGTGACAGGCACTGTTGGGCACTCCCCACCGCCCGCGCCCGGTCTCGTCTCGCGCCGAAGACCGCGGGCGAACACCGCGACCGGCAGGTCACCTACACGACGGTCACCTTTGCCCCGCTGAAGGTTGCTGCATCGGTCGCCTGGAGAATGAGATCGCGTCGTAGGACGTGTGTCATCGGACCGGAGGGTGAAGATCTGCGAAGCTGCAGAATCCTTATGCCACATGGGTCCAGGTACCTCCGTACTTCAGATGGTCGCTGCCGGAGGTGAGTTCGGACGAAACCAGAGAATGGTCGTTGCCTGGGGCCTTGCCGGACATCCGATTCAGATGGTCCTGGACCCTTCAGGCCTTAGGGCTTGTGCATGGGGCCCGAGGAGCACCACGAAGCCGCTGCGGAGGACGACCGTTCGCCGGTTTGGGTTTGGACCAGGACTTGGTGCCATGTTCAACCAGATTTGACGATGTGATTAGCCCCTTTTGGAGACATGTGGGTCTCCCTATGCAGCCTTTCAAAAATACACAGAATCGGCCTGGTTGCAGAATGGAAACTTCTGTAACATTGCTTGTTCTTTCGCTCCGAGTTGTCCAGCAGTTCGCTCCGAGTGCACATCCAGCCTCTACTCCTCAGGCTGAGGTCCAGATCGGCGACATCCAGGCAGGTGTTGTGTTTTTCTTCCCGTTTTTTGCCTGATTTTTGGACTCGCAGTGGGTGAGTCGACTGGCAGTGGGTGAGTCGACTCGCAGTGGGTGGTTCGACTCGCAGTGGGTGAGTCGACTCGCAGTGGGTGGTTCGACTCGCAGTGGGTGAGTCGACGAGATGGGTTCGGCATTTGTTCTGACTTGGACTCCTTGGAAATTGGAAGCTGTGGAGATTGATCTTGGTAGGTTGACCTAGCTGGACCCTAGGTCGCATGGACAGTGGACGACTATAGACTATAGATATGTTTTTATACATGCCTTTGAACCAACAGCGATTGGAGATCATCTTGAGCTGGTGTGCCAAGGTGCTTTAGAATTTTCAAACGGATGGGGAAAGCTTCAAAGTGAAGCTGTATATACTGCTGTATATATATATATATAGATGCTTGGCTTGTTTCCCCCGCAGTGATGAATCAAATTATGAGCTGAATGATTACGGGAGATATCATGTATTTTAGCACAGGCCGGGAGATCCCAAATGAATACGGCATATGGAACATCATGTAAAGTCTTGGCGGATTTGCATGACGATCATCACAATAAAGGATACATTTTCGAGTGTACCAGTGGTTTCTACCAGTTTTTTTTTCTTTAATGTTTGGTCCACTTGATGTTTTCTATATCCGAAGTGTCTACCCTCCCTCCAACGTCCTCATGGTTACGTGGAACATGGCCCCTGGAAAGACAAATCTCCGAATACCAGCAAACAGGGAATTATCCACTTCCATGATTGTTTCGGATGACGGTGTAGTACATCGATACATCCTTCTTACAGGCACCCGCGGTTGTGTTTCTTTTTCAAGTTCAATCATGTATCACTTGATCTCCTCTCGGTATCCAAGGTTTCTACTAACATTTCCCTCCAACAATCATTGAAGGCAGTTTTCTATGCAGGCCCTTTTCGATGTCCAAAGCCTCTACCAATTTTTCCACGTGCGCCCTCCCTCCAACGCCCTCCCGTGCTCTACGCCTTCTCCACGTGCTTCTACCACCCAGACACTCCATGGGACTGCCCACCCCATTAACCCCCCCAAACACCACTTGGCCATTTCTCGGCAGTCCGTCCTGGCAGTCTGATGGGTCGTGTCTGGGCCAGTTCGGTCCATGTTCCCAGTTCCACAGCCCTCGAGGTCCGCAGCACCCCACGCTGCCCGGGCGTCGGCCCCAAGTGGGTGCGGCTCACGGTGCGCGGAGTGACGCGGAGTGCCTCGGCGGAAAGGGAGGGAGGGCCGCGGCGAGCGTCCGAGCGGGGAAGAGCCCGAAAGAGACCCAGGAAAGACGTGGAGCACCTGCAAAACATTTTTTGGGGGGTGAGTAGTTTCCTTTTGGGGGGGGAGTAGTGGAGAACTTTTATTTTTTGTTTTTTATGAATAATATATGTAACTGCTCGGTGAACCTTTATTTTCCAGGGATTTCCGGCTCAAGAGTCAGCAAAAGAATGAGTGCCACAAGGCACTTGAAGGAATTGGAGGGTCTTGGTTTGAGGTCTTAGGACCGGTTCAATTAGTTTTGAAGGGCTGATTTGGAACGATTTGGATTGTTTTTGTGTCAGGATGTTCAGGAGTTGGAAGGTCTTGGAGTCTTCATGAGTTACTCCTATCGTGCAACGGGATAGTTGTTCCAAACCCGCTTCTAACATCATCTAACTATCTCAGAAGGTCGTTGGACCCTCCACATCACCTGACATCTCTCAAACAGTTGGCGGATCCTGAGGGGGACTTGCACTAAAGAACCACTTCCGTACATTCAATCTTTGTTTAGGCATGGATGACCTAACCACAGCTTCCACCAAAAGCGTCCAAAAAGAACTTCCTAACACTTCCACCAACCAACTCCACCACCTCTCCCTGGAGTGTGTGAGATCCGGTGACCGACCGGCCGCAGGGACGGCTCGTGACCGGGGACCGACCCCAAGGCGTGTGGCTCTTGCTGCCGAAGGGCCGTCAGAAGACCCCGCTGTGGCTGGCCTATCATGGCACCGACAACGAGGTCGCTGGACGAGTCACGGAGCGGCGGGGTGCAGGGCCAAGCTGCAGTTGACATGAAGTGTGTGTGTGTGTGTGTGTTGGTCAAGTTTCAGGGTGTTATATACTGTGTACACAGTTCTGAGGTTGCAACTTCCTGAAGACTCATTGGTCCAAAAGGTTAGAGGATTGTCAGTGCACTGAAGAGTTCTCCAATGTTCTCCAGCACAAGGACTCGGACCTTAAAAGACCTCGGCACGTCCTCAAAAAGCAGGTCCTCCAAAAGCATCCTTGGAGTAGGATACTGGAATCAGATAGGGGACAGGGTATACACACCCAGACACTCCATGTATGCCATATATGCCTACATTGACCCCTCAAACCACTCCAATGTAGGCATATATGGCATACATGGAGTGTCTGGGACAGTGACCCGAATTCGTTGCGTACGAGTCCCATGGGACCTGGGACGTGCGGATGTAGGGTTGGTTGCTTCACCAGGCCGGAACTGTTTGGCCCGGGGTTTCCTGACGGCCCACCCTGCGATGGGTGCGGCCATGTGGATGTTCCTCATCTTTCGTGGGGAAGATGCGATCTCAAAGCAAGGTCGAATTGACGTGCCATGAGGCTTCCAGTAGTTTCAGTGTTTCATGCTTGGTGAATAAGTCGGAGCAACCCACTCCCCAAGCTAGCTTGAGAATGTGCGTGTGGGACATCAACACCTGCGTCATGATTTGGTCAAGACATCTTTCCCAAAAAACACTTGCTGACCAATCATGACAAATCAACAGGTCACATACTATAGTCTTCATGTATGTTCTCACACGAAGGGCCAACAACGAGTAGCTTTCAACGATCATGTCCGGTAGCTCTCGCCGGAACGGCATTTTGGTCGGCAGGTGGAGCCCTTCTTGAGATACTCCGGCTTGGGCCTCACAAGCTGAGTTCTGGGGGTGAGCAGATGGTGGGGCAGGTGGATTCAGATGGATGAGTCTATCCAAGTTCACTGTTTAAAGGCACCATTTTCGGTGAATGATTTCTCATCCATAATATGGTCATTACACTCCCTGAAATCATCATGGAAATGGATGGCATGGCTTTTTTGGAAGACCATAGTTTAATGTTCCTTTTGATTTCGGGGCATGTATGCTTCAAAGTGAGGCCAGGCTCTGGGCCGCCCGCCAGCCCAGATCCAAGACCACCCAAAGGAGGCACCCGGACCCTATGGGCCGTATGTACTAACTGCAGTACATGTTAACAAGTCCAGTACCCGTCCAATACAACAAGTCATCGATCGTCATCGCAACGAGCCACGCAACGCAACGCAACGAACGCAACGTCGTTCGCCTGCGTGAGGCCTCGCGACCTTTGCCCAGCAACACCGCCGGGGAGCTGAAGTTGGGCGAACGAGCGGTGTTCGGAGGGGACTGGCTGGGGTGCCATCGAATTCTGAGACACCCAGATGCTCACGGGCCCTCATATGGAGAGGTCTGGGGTCCCAAACCCCTAAGTTTTGAGGGACCAAGGGCTGTTTGGAGCGTCTGGGCAGTTGATCACTAAAGCACCGCCCCAGACAGGCACGACTGCGCTTGAGTTGCCGTGCGGCACATGTGGAGACTCCAGGCTAGTTCGAGGTTAGACCACCTGGCCAACCTGAAACCCCCACAGGCTTCGTCCAAAAGCCTCGCCACAGGCATCATCGACCAGCCGGCGGATGACCAGCGAATGGGACCCTAGGGCTCCTGTCCCATCTCCTCAGGTTCGGTGGGCCCAGACACCCCAAGACCACCCACCCCTGTCCCATCGAACCGAAACGGAGGGGGGGCCAGGAGCCCAAGGGCCGGGGGAAAAGGTCCAGCGCGTATGGTCCCGCGAGTTTGGGCCGTGAAGTCGGACGGGGAGCACACAGGTGTTGCCTTAAGGGGAGTCCGCCGAGCACGGTACGGTGGCTAATACTAAATTGGTCTAAGGGGGAAGGGGTATCCCACCCCACTCCACAAGATCCACAAGAACAGAACGTTGGGTTGAACGACAACCGCTCGGGAGTGACGTGCGTCGCAGACCAGGCATTGGATTGCTGGCGCCACAGGGCTTACCGGACCAGAGCCACTTCGGGAAGTGTGGGCCCAAGGAAAAGCTGGGTGGTCGTTTTGAGTGATATGTTGATGTTCATTCTCCAAGAAACTTCTCAGTCCCAAACCAAATGATTTGTTCATGTTCAAAACATTCAACCTTTACGTACTTGGAATGATTGGTTGAATCCTTCGAAGTGAGTTGAAGCTCACCAACCCACGCAACCCAAACTTCTCAGACTGTCACTCTGGGCTCAGAACATCCCTACCTCACAACCCTTCATGGCGCCCCAAGACGATTTATATTGGCCAATGCCTGTCGTCCCTGAGAGGAGGCCACTAAGATGTTAAGGTTAATTTGTTTAAGTTAAGTGTTGAGTTAGATGTTCAGTTAGCCTGTAAGTTGACCAATTGCCTGTCATCCCCCCTATGGATCTTCATACCCTCATATACCCTCCTATCAACGGGTGATGGGAAACACTTCGCCTACATAGGCCAGGTGAAGGTCTAGGTCATACCTTCCTGAGAAGGTCCGACTGGGGGTATCAACCACTTGGGAAGAGTAGGCAGTGTCATGACGTGGTGGACTCCCTGGAGGTGAAGATAGGTGAAGATAGGTGAAGACCAGCTCTTGCAACTTACTTTGGGCTTGTGAGGTTTGACTTCATGTAGAGTCTTCAGTCTATTTCACCTCCATATGAAGAGGGGTTTCAATGCAAAATGGGGGTGGGCTTATGAATCAAGAATCTATGTTACTTTGGGCTGGTGAGGTTTGGACACCACTCCCCGAAATCGTAATGGTGACGTGGAATGAGTGAAAACCACCAGCCATGGTCTTTAGATTTCGTCATCCAAAATGCCCATCCACGGAATGTCACATGTCTTTGAAGGAACAAGTCAGCAAGTCTTTGAAAGCGGATTTCCTTCTTTGCCTCTTCTTTAGTTGAGACCTTGATGGTTGATGTTTTACCTTTTGGGAGCTCCCCACTGTACACTTCTATGATGGAGCTGATGCAAACTGGTGAACGCAGTGTTTTTCTGATATAACGACCTGCTAGAAACAAAGGATGCCAGCTCGATCCAGCTCGGCTGTTCTTTGCTAATCTTTCAGGGTTATACAGTTACTGTATAAACATACTAGATAATGAGATGTAACTACGTATGTATTGTATGCAGTTGGGTGGAATCAAAGCAGACCGCGCACTTTGTGACAGTCCAAATGTTTGTGTATCACTCGAGGGCTTGCTCGAAAGCATGATCCAAGTGCATGCTAGATGCATGAAAGGGTGCACAAGGTACATGCCCTCAGCCGTTCCAAGCCAAGGACTCAGTTCAACGTGGGTTTGCATAGCAAACCCATGCGTGAAGAGGAGGAACAGGCCCACGGCGCTTGTTTGGGGATGGAAGGTGTTGGATGGCGGCCATGGCAGCAATGGGAATGCTATGGAGTGCTCACCATTAGTAATTGGATTCCTGGCTAAAAAAACGTTTCATTTTTGTGTGAAGAGATGTGTTTTAATTTTGACGAACACTTGAATGTAGCATGTTCTCATTTACCCCCCCAAATACAATGGCCTGTCACCATATATATGCAATTGCGAATCCTTAGCAGCCCATGAACAGTTCTGCGGTTCAACACTCCATTTTCTAAGTTCCTTCACTTTCTACCATTTGCCCCACACAAAGTCTACGGCTGTTGTTGTTCTGTCCCCCGCAACCTGACAAAAACAACCCTTCTCATGGGCAAGCCCAACAAGACCCCGCGCCACGGTCTCTGACCGGTGAGGGCATGCACGATGTGGCGTTCACCCGAGAGCTTCTCGAGCAGGTCCGGGGGCCCTTGGGGCCCTTTGGGTTCCAGGATGCCCCTTCAAGTCTGGGTGGAGTTGGGGGGTGGTGTCCTACTTGTGATTGTTTAAACACTAGTTTGTGTTAATTTATGTTTACCCCTCCCAGTATCAAGTGCTTTTCACGATCTAACGTCTATAAACCTAAGCGTATAAGGTTGGTGGCTGACAACCTGAAACGCCTTTTACCGCTTGTGGGGGTGATCCTTTGCGGTTCGGATGCTTTGGGTGGGGCAACCTGAAGCTGGGCCACAGCATCAAACTCTTTGCAGGCCTGGAGGGGGGGCTGGGTGAGAGTGCTAGCCACGGGCGGACACCTTCGAAAATGAGATTCAGGACATCTCGCAAAGCCACTATAAATGACGAAAGACTGTGACAAGAAACTGCCACTAGTTCGAGACCCCCTGGCAATCACCATGCTTTCACAAAGCATTGGCTCTCGGAACTCGTCCTCGGCGCCGAAGGCTCGCTGCGTTGCCGCTAGCAAGCCAAGCTCGATCTCCCGTCAGCCGATCTTCAGGTGCTGCGCTTGCCGTGCATCGACCCGAGCCGCGTCCACTGCACCGGCTATTCCAATGGTGCTCGCTTCTGTGGCCCGGTTGGGGGTGAAGTCCGGCGAGGGGTGACGTCGGGGCGCTCGTTTGTAGCAGGGCCCTCTTGTTGGTTTCAACGTGGGAGAGATGCGTCTTGTTGACGAACGTGAGGAACTGGACCTATTCAAAGAGCGAGGTGTTGTGGGAGTGAAACTCCCAGCTGCACAGGCGAACATCACCAAAACGTCCCGTTTTTCTCACTGGTCACTGATTACGAGGCTAGCCTCTTGAAGGGATATAAAATGATATAAACTATATAAAACATCGCCGTTAAGTCATGACATGATGTCCTTGTTTCTCAGTTTGGGTTGGTTTCACTGCAATGAGGCCTTGATTTCGCTTACCAAGGTCGACATGTTTGAACAAAAAAAGTCAAGCAGAGGGCTTCTTGTCCCGAGCACGCCAACCTGAAGCACACCATCCCCATGTACACCATCCCCATGTATTTGAGATGGAATTGATGAAACTACCCGACCCATGCATGTTAGTCACAAATGCATGCAAGTGCCTATCCTTGCCTGAAGCTTCCATGTGCTTGTTGCTGACGTGTCGGAGACAAAAGAACCGAAAGAACATTAGCACATTCTCAGCACTTCGACACATCATGAGACTGGCATATTCGCTTAGACCCTGAGTGACCTCCATTTGAGACCAGAAAACGAGCCACTATATAACCAACCCCAAAACATGGTCCTTTCCAATCCAAACAAGGGTTCACAGTTCTAGCGTTGCGGAGCGAGGTATGCGGCTGGCATCCGAAATGTCGAGGCCCCAGTGGCAAAGGAAGATGGGTGAGGATTCCACACACACCCGGCCGCGACCCGTGCAGTTGGAAGCTTCAAGCGTTTTCAGATGAATGTCAAGGCGGAAGGCATTTGTTTCTTGATAGGAGCTGAGTCTTTTCGGTCACGACTCAGCCCTCACAAGAAGGTCACCAACAACGACTCCTGTAAGGTCGAAGTCCCAGCCTACACGTTCTACCAATGGTCCCGCTGATATGATATGTATTGATATCCCATAGGGTCCAGGTACCTCCGTACTTCGGATGGTCTTGGAGGTGAAAGTACTTCCAGAGAATGGTCGAACGGGGGGTCAAAGGACATCCGATTCGGATGGCCCTGGACCCTTAGGGCCTTAGGGTATGTGCTGATTAGTTCAAGATGAAGGCAAGACCGAGATGGAGTCTTTCCACCTCGTCAATTCCACCAAGAAAGACAGCCCACCAACAGGCTGGCAGGTTTTTTGGCTGCCAATGACGTAATGAAGCAGTTCCCCCCATGTCCGCCGCCATTCCACCGTGGCTGTGGAATCTCCCAGGTCAGACATCATTGCCTCTGTAGCGCCAGTGTCAGGCTCAGAAACCAGGGATGCGTGGGCTTTTTCTCGAGCGAAAACCGAATCTTTGCCCGTCGGCGAGGAGTGCAGATTTGCAACGTACCCCTTTGAACTATAAACATTATAAACCTTCAACGCGAGTACTTCGAAAATACAATCCCACAACAGAATAGGTGCCTTTATGGTTTAAAGACGCTATTATAGTATATTTTTTGGTTGTTGCATGAAGTAGAATAAATGAAGTAGAATAAGTAGAATATGTTACATAGAACATGGAAAAGCATGGATGTTTCCTTTTTGTCAAGAAGGCAGCTTTGTGCGTGTTTTGATGTGTGGTCACTTCACTACTATCTGAAGGTGTGTCCTAAACTTGTGCAAGTTCATCTAGAAATTAAAGCTGCGTATTCTCCACCAGTTTGTTTGGAAACGCCTGAATATTTTTTTTGCGCTACTTGTGCTTTAAAAAACTAGGAAATTGAAACCATTATCAAACGTATTTGGACATAATAGCAAATAGCATCAAATAGCAACACATATTAAATGAACAATAATGTTTTCTGGATTCTGTAGTTCTTAACTGTTGAAAAATATAGACCGGAAAACAATTTATTGTTCAATAGTTATTTACTTTGAATAGACCATATTGACACATTAGCCCCCTTCGGTGGCATCTGCAGGTTGTCCCAGGGAGTCTCGGGTTCAGGGCTGAAAAGAAGGGGCTCTCGGGCTCAGAGAACCATTTAGGTGTTGGTGTCAGATACTTTTATACCTGCTTTTGCGGATCAAGTGACTTTGTGAATGTTCCCTATGGTTAAATCCCCGTACCTGGTGAAGATGTTCGATTTTTTCCACGTGCCTGGGAGCTGCACGTCCAAGTATACCTTTATCATCCTTTATCCGGACTATCCAGATGATTCATCCCACTGACCTGAATTGAAACCACCGACAGTTGGCACCAAGTACAGGCGTTCTCTTTTGGCCAATTCTTCAGCGGGGACCCTGTTTGTGGGGTCAGTCCGTTGGGTTGTTGTTTTCTCCCGGTTCTGGGGGGCAAAAATCCAAACGAACACGTTGCTTTTTGGGACCAACCACCTCATTGGACCAACACGATCGCGCCTCGACTAACTCGATTGGACCTCCACGATCGCAGGTTTGCGATTCCCACAACCGAACCTGGCGCGTGCTTTTCTCAGATGGAGGGGGAGAGAGTGGAGGTGGTCTTTCAGTTCTTCGGAGGTTTCTTTTGGAGCTCTCCAGCAGCTGGAAACCAATGAGAAACAAGAAATAACAACAAACTTCCATTGGACACCCCGACAGGAGGGTCCTGGTATAGGTTGATCTAGGTTGCTGGTTTCAGAGTTGTTTTTCCACCTGGGCTTGGGAGGATGAACCCCAAACAGATGTTTTTTTTCCTTGTGTGGTAGCTCAACGAGCTCATGGGTTGGAGGAACCCCTACTTGAGAGAGCTTCAAAAGGTGAGCTTCAAGCCCACAAGCCATTGGGCCATCCCGACCAGCGCTGCGCCATCGAGGTCGGCCTGTACCGGTGCTTGTGACCTGGCAGTCGAAAGGGTCAGCCGAGGTCGGGACGTAGGTCTTGGACACTCCATCAGGTTGGAGCATATACCCAGACACGACCCATAAAACTGCCATAGGACTGCCGATCAGTGGGGTGGTTGACTGGGGGTCTGATCGGCAGTCCTATGGCAGTCCCATGGAGTGTTTGGGATAGTTCTTACAAAGCCATCTTAGATGAGGATGAGATAACATTTTCCATTTGAGTCTGGAGTACGTAGTTGTTGATCGTCTGGAACATTTCCAGGAACTATGATGAACTACCATCAACAGGAGCCCAAACGTCGCAAGGGACCCAAGCCCACGTCGCAAGGGACCCTGTCTTCGAACTCTCAGACCCTCCACCCTGACCTCTCCCCCCTCGGAACGAGCTCCGAGTCTGGCTCCTTCAGCCGCCCCCGAGGCCTTCCATGGCGATGCCGATCCCATCAATCCCTTCCCAGGCGACCGACTGAACACCTCGTTTTGAAACGGGCGGGCTCAGTCATGCCGGGTCAAAGATGTTTGGCGGTGGTTTTTCGTGAGGAGGGTGAGGGAGGTGGAGGAAGGTACAGTTATTCATAGATGCCTCGTTTGCGCTACTGATGGATAACCTCCCTAGCCTCTCAGAGTGTTTTGGTTCCCATGGAGTTTTGCCTCTAAGTGACCCTTCTTTTGATAGCTTTTGAGCATCAGGGGTGTTCAAGGGCCAGCGGTTTATGGAAGAGGATACTTCAACTCTTCCCAAGTTTGCCGGGCTAACTTCTAACTATCCCGTACAATGGAATCTTTGGCAGCTGCACTGTGCATTGCAAATGTGAGGGTCGAGATTTAGCTGCTGGTTGGCCGGGTTGGTGGCAGAGAGTACTTCAAACTTTGTCTAATACCTGAGTTCGGAGCATGGCTGAGCACATGGCACAAACCATAGACCGGTGTGGACAAAGACCCCAGCAGCTTGCCTTCAAAAGGCAGAGTTGAGTGCCAGCTGCTTCCTGTCGGGGTGTGCTGGGTGGACTACCCTAGACATCCCTAGACAACTAATAGATCTCTCTCCTGGCAGGACACCCTGGCAGGAAGCGCTAGGTAGGTGCAAGGTGGCAGGGAACACCCGGGGGAATAGCCGCGGAAATGAAAGTCGATCATGGATCATGGCGCATTTAAAAACAACATCCATGCATATTAATAACTACAACCCTTTGACTGATTTGACTCCGCTGGTGACCACCTGACCACCACTTGTGCCCCGCCTGTGCGCCCCAAATTCTGCATGGGCCAGGCCATGGGGCAGACTACTGGCACTCCTCCGTGCCGGATGCCCTGCAAAATTGGGCCAAGTTCAATGGCTGCGGTGCCACCGGCACAGTTGAACAGTCCAGGATCATCCTGTCTGGGTGTCCTGGCGTTCGACTATATACCCCACCCTACGTAAACAGGTCTCCAGACAGGGCACCCGGACAGGAAGTGCTTGCCTCGCCTCGCACCAGGTTTGGCCGCTTAAGATGTCTTTGAAGGGTTGGTTTCTGGTCCCAACGATCTGTGGTCAAGATCCCAAGACGGTCTTGGAGCGCGCTCGCTCTCTTCCTCTTTGCCACCAAAATCCACACAAAAAACACCGCAAAACACGACAGACAATGCTTTCATAGAAGGGGTAGGTACTGGAGGGAAGGTATACCATACATTACATATAGACGGGTGCTCTTCGTTTCTTTCTTCCCGTGCCGGGCCCCTCCCTCTCGTACGCGGGCTCGCGCTCCTGGGGAACGCCGGACCGGGCCGGGCTCCCGCCGCGGCCGCCAGGTGCGGCGTCCCTTCCGCCGAACTTCCTGCCACTTGGAGGTCCGCGGCACGCCCCCGCGCAGTGCCTTCGGTCCGGGGAGCGCCTTCGGTCCGCAGAAATGCCCTGCCCAGACGCGACCCGCTCGGCCACGAAGCAACTGCTAGTTGGTTCGGTCCAAAGCCCTAGTTGTGAGGGTCAAAACCCTAGCTATGAGGGTCCAGTCAGCGTTCGGGTGGCGTGTGGGGCGTTCTACTCCGGGAAGAGTTGGTCTTGAAATGCAAGACTCGAGTTGTTTTGCAAAAGAGTTAGCAAATTGTTTGGCAGACCTTTCTCAAACATAATCGAATGATCTTGTATGCTCATTTGCAATCTGATGCAACCTGCACAGTCAATCTCATATATGATTCTTATGCCTTGAACTCGGCAACCCGTGCGGTGGCGTCCATCCGCACCCGCACAGTCCAATCGCCCGACTTCTCGGTTGCCACGTGACCCCGGGCATGATTTCGTTGACTCGGTGAAAGCCACCGGGGCTTTGGTGAGGTGGTCGGGATGGTTATAGGGGGAGGCGGCTCGTCCTACCCAGGAAGTATGTTTGTGGATTCACGTTGGAGTCGGTCGGGGAGGATTAGGAGAGCACTTTGTGGCTCTGTTTCATGGACAGAGTTCTGTGTGGCAAGAATGCCAGGAAAGTCATGCAAAAGGGAGGTATTGGCTATTGGAACTACAACTACAACTACAATTAGTTACATGTATAATCATGTATATATATATATACATACTACAGGTTTTCTAGGACAGACAGGCATGAGGAATCACTGCCGCATTCTGCATTGGAACTGCATCGCTTACACGCTGCTTGGAAGTGACATCAGCGACCAATGGCCATCATTCAACCAAGTCGGATCCTGATGATCAGGTTCTGCGCCACTTCACAATTCCGGCGTGTTTCTTTCCAAAGGGGCCAAAGGCTTCGTGCATCATCGATAGCTACATTTGCATTGGTGGATTCTAGGGGCCCAAGTGTTTGAGATCAGTTTTTCAAGCGCTGCATATTACATGCATCTGCCAGGACCCTCAAAGTGACCTCTTCGGAGTCTCTAAGTGGTCTTTAACAGGCCTAAGTGACCTCATCCTGGGATCTCAAAAGGTCACTTTGAAGGTCCTGGTGTATGCAATGATGAAGCAAATGATTTCCCGCCCTCCGGTCGGAGCGCAGGTACGAGCACTGCAAAGACAATGCCACGGTGCAGCTGTTCCGTTGCAATGGCGGGGGGCACCAATGGCCTGGAGGCTCAACGGAAGGAACTCGGCGACGACCGAGACCCTGCTGGAAGACCTGCAGGGCGACCGTGGCCCTGGTGACGTGAGTTGATGGACCCTGGTGACGGGAAGGGCAAAGCCTTATGCCAAACAGGGAATTTTTCACTCACTCCACCTCCAGTTCCGGGGAGTGTATGTGTTCCCGTGATGTGTCAGTGTGGTGATGTGTCACGGATTCACTCACTCCACTTCCATTGTGATGTGATGTGAGAGGGTGCCAGGTCCATTCTGGGTGCCCCATGAAGGCCGGTTCCTGGGTGAACTCACTGCAGCTCCAGTTCCGGGGAGTGTATCAGTGCATTTGCAGGTCAAACTTGATCCGGGGGGATTTTGGGGAGTCAAGAAGCAAGACCGGTGGATGGTCGTTCGGCGAAGGGTGCGGATGTTCCAGAAATCGAAAGGCCGTGGGGCTGCAGCTAAAGGACCTTAACCCTACAAGTCGAGTCTGACCCAGCAAACTTGGTCTTTAACGCCTAGTTGTTTTTTACTTTTTTGTCCAACTCCTGTTAAATGAGGTCATTGACCTGTAGGGGGTAAGTATGCAAAAGGGGGTCACCAGGGTCACCGGCACACTTCTATTCTTGCTGTAGGTTCTGCAGAAATCCTGTTCGTCCTTTTCATCACCCAGACCATCCATGGGACTGGACGAATACCTACATGCTGGATGAGTCATAATCCATGTATGTACTGTAATTCTTCCAGTCCCATAGATGCTTTGGGTCCTACCGAGGCCGGACGCCACCTGGGCCAAGCCTGGCCTGGGCAATGTGGGGAGGCGAACCTGGGGAGGACCAAGGGAGGGGGAATAAGTGACCGTAAACGGACCCGGAAGACCTGCAGTACCTATCCCATACGGTCCACATACCTTCTTAGGGTGGTCCCGGAAGACCTGGGGTCAATATCGTGATCTGAACTAGAACCCGGAAAACGTGGCAACTAGGACCCGTCACCTGGTGACCGTACATTAGGACCGTTTTCTAGGACCCATCCCTTATGGGATGGTCTTCTCGTTGGGACCTCGTGGACCTGGGACGACGGCCCACCGGGCCTTCCAAGAGAGGGTGGAGGAACGTGACCTGAGAAAGGACCCGGAAGACCTGGGGTACCCAACTGGGATGACGTCAATACTGTATAGGCTCCTGAAAAACCTCTGTTGGTTCCACCCGGTGTTAAAATGCCGGAGCTACGCTTGGCCATTTGGAGAGCGATCGACCTCGACCTCGTGCAAGGCTGGATGCCAACAGCATGATGAAGGAGTTCTTCTCCCAGCACCGCCACTCGGAGAACGAAGGAAATGATCCTGGCCGGGGTCGGTGGTCAGGTCGAATCATTAAGAAACATGGGTTGACCTGGCGTTGTAGTCTAGAACCCTCCCTAAGACTCCAAGTAGCTCCTCAGAAGGTATTTGGACCCTCTAAACCCTCCAAAATACCTTAGAAGAAGGTACGACTGGACTGGAGCCCTGAAACCCTCAGTCAAACTGTTCGGTAAACACCCATTAAATCAATGGTGGACGCCATGAAGAAGGAGCGACTCTCAGGGGTCCAGAGCTGGCTACGCAGAGTAGACATGAGTAGACAGAGCACGTAGACTTATGGACCTAAGGCAGTGGATTCATGAAACTAGGAGCAATCCTTTAAGGTACCTTACTCCCCTCAGCAGATGTTTTAACCTATGGAACCCCACAACCACTGGTGCAGCTTGCTGGACCCACGAGAAGAACGGGTGAGTCCTCCGGGGTCCATAGGGTATTCCAGCTATAGAATTGAAGTAACCCTATAGGGCTCCTGGCCGCCCCCTCCGTTTCGAAGATGGTGATGGTGGGTGCCAGAGGGGTCTGGGCCCACCGAACCTGAGGAGATGGGACAGGAACAGGGCAAGTAGAATCGAATGTCATATTGTGGCCATTGTATACCCTCAACTATACTTAGGGGTAGATGCATCAGCAACTCCGTAAGACAGAGCACAAACACAGCACAAACATCCTATGTTTTAGACCCTTCCATGTGGAGGTGACAGTCTAGAATGGGCATACCTCCAGGTATGAGGATGGGATGCAAGATGACCCAATATCGATTAACATCTCGCCGGATTATAGGGTGGGGCACCATCCATGGACGAGTCCATTCTTCATATTTCTTCATCTATATACTCTGGTGTCCCACTACTTAGGGGGACGGACCGCTATTCAAAGATCCTTCGGCACCATTGTAGCGCCTTGTTTGACCCCTTGGACCGTGTCTGGCGACGGGCATCCGGGCACCGGTTCCCATCAACCCATGTGAGTAGATATCGCAGGCCCCTGTCTCCACTTGCCAGACGTTAAGTGACCGTAAATAGGACCCGTAACCTGGGGTACCCAACTGGGATAGTCTAGTTACGTTCGGGTCATTCAACCTCTGTTGGTGAAGTCCTATGTTATCATAGCTTGGTCAGCTTTTGTCCACCCGTTGGGCACGTTTCAAGGTGGTTCCTTTATTTTTTAAAGTGGATGTGACAGGCACCCGGCAGCCCCTCCGAATGGCACGCAGGTCTTCCTCACGGCTTCCTCATGGAGGTTCCTTGACAAAGCGAGGGAAGGGAGAGATGGACACATGACGAAACACGCAAACACATAGGTTGGTCCTAGCAAAGGTCAGATTTGGAGAGGTTGGTGGTGCTATGGCGGAACTCCCATGACCTCCAGCCTTTCAGCTTTCGTAAATTCCAAGATGTTTGGCTTTCATGCATGACCACCCCACCAGCAGCGTGGCCAAGTGGCCTTCTCTAAGGCCCTAAAATTGAGAAAACGGAAGTTGCTTCATAGCAGGCCAAGGGCAGGAGCCGGCGGTTTGGAGGGAATTGGGCAATCACCTGGGCAACATATAGCCAAGGCTGTGAGCGGTTTTTGCCATGAGTTCCTTAGACGGATTTATTTGTCATATGCCTCAGTGGGGCGCCTGGCTTGTACATGAAGCATTTCCCCATTATCGTGTGAGATGTTCATGTTTCAGGTGCGCTTCTCATTGAGCCATCTTAGCTCAGAAGGCACCCACTATTGGGCTCAAATCCCTAATGGGACCCTCTATACCCGGACCATCCATCCATCCATGGATCGATGGATCCATGGATCTATCGATCTATGGATCTATGGATCTATCGATCTATCTATCTATATCTATCTATCGATCTATCTATTTATCTATCTATTGACCAGTATATTGACCCCATTGATGACGTAAGTGGTCACTCTTCCATAAGAGTCTTCAGGAGTGGTACCCTAGGCCCTAGACTTCCGTCTGACCATGAACAAAAATGGGAACGACCTGGTGGTTGTAGTGTAAAAAATCCTTAGTTGATTCGGGATGACCCGCCTATTAAATCAAGGGTGGCTGGAAGCCTCAACCATCGGTCCCGGGAGATCTGGCCTTCCTGCGGAGGAGCACCCTCTCGGCTAGGACACTGGAACGCCACAGGCGCGGTCTACCGCGACGGAGCGACCACGGGATGCCCACCACACGCCGGAGTCGGAGTCGGTATGTGAAAGGTTTCGGTCGCGGAGCACGGTCTAGGAAGGAAGAACTTGACTCAGTGATTGGTCCTAGACTTGGAAGCTGTGCATGTTTTTCATGTTTTTTTCGATATGTGTCGATCAGACCTGAGGCTGGCCACCGCAAGTGATAGAGAACACACAGTTTATGTACACGAACCTTTCAACAGTGCGCTTTGCGTTCAGATGGCGGAACAATGACCTGTTGGTCATGCACTTATAGGCATAGAAAGCCTCTGAAGACCATTCCTTTCCTCCATCCCCCTACCTCGCTCTGCAGGCCTCTTGGTGGCTGCTGCACTAGCCGCACTGGCGGCGAGCGCCATGCTGCTGGGCATCTCTCCAGAGAGTAGGCCGTGCACACGGGTGTGTACACGGGTGCTCGTGCACTATGAAGAGCTGCAGGTGCTTCAAGGCCGGTGTCGCACGCGCCGCTTGCGGTTTGCCTCAAACCTGTCAGATTCCAGAACTCCGAAGCAAAGCCATCTCCAACACTCTCAAATCCCCGGCCCTTGGACACCAACCCTTCCATGAACCGCCAAGAGCGCCATCTGCATGCGAGCTCGGCCTCATGGTTTCAGGCCCTTTGATCGAAGAGGAGGAGCAGGGCACCAACCAGTGAAGGTGAAGGTGGTGGAGTGGGAACGAAGATTGAATAGCATGATATAGTCCAGACCATACAAGATTAGTTACATACATTTACATACCCTTATTGGCCCAAAAGCTCCTCCTGCGACCACATGGAGCCCTCAAACCCACTTGGTTGTGGAGGAAAATGGTCGAAACCAGAGATCAATTCTCAGGTTCCATATTCCCTATGGATCCACATACCGAACCTCAGGTACGGTGATTGGAGACTATTTATGTAGGCGCCAGGGGGACCCCAATTACCGTACCTGAGAAGGTGGCTGTGGATCCATAGGGATTAGTTGGCCGGTGGCGTTGGACCCTTTCGGTGTTTCTACCGTGAAAATATGACAAACCAAACTGAGACTATGATCTGTGGACCACACACATGCCATGAAAGGATTTATCAAATCAGCTTCTTGCTCTAGCTGTGTTGGAAGTTCCTTTTGTCCATCAGTTTAGGTGGGCTCTTTAATGACAGTTGAAGTCACTAACCATTTGCGTAGCTGTGTATGAGAGAGACATTGTTCTGCAAGCTCTCTAAACTGCCAACATCAAGTTTTGTTGCATGCGTGAGTGCATTCAGTCATGTGTTTCATATTGTTGTTCAATGTATGCATATATATATATATGTATATACATATAGCTGTTTTGAAGAGAGTTTAGCTTGTCTCACAAGTCTCAAGTTTTGGGATGTGTATACGTTCTTTGATTGACCCTCTTACTATGTTTAAACATAACTTTGTTCCAATGTTCCCAATTTGTCACCTAGAACGCCGGTAAACTGGATGGTGTCACCACCGGCCAAAGAGGCCGCGAGCTGTTTCGCTCAACATCACTCGATGTTTCACCCGTTTTCGCCAATGGCGAAATCCGCTCAAAGCAAACGAGACGTTGAAACCCAAAAGCCATGGAGTTACGACCAACGGATGGTTGAGTGGGGGTTTAGAATCATCCAATTTTTCCAGGGATTGTCTACCAGGCTTTGGCCAAGGCTATTTTATATATGTTTTCTGTGGGTTAACCTATTATTTCAGAAACTTCCTTTACTTCAGTGGGGCAAACCTATGGTCAAAAATGGACTTCTAGGGATTTGGAGTTCCTGGAAATCCGATGCGTCAGCAGTTTTGCGGGTGGAGTTGCGGTGCGGTTTGCTTTCGGCCACATTGGAAGCACATCTTAGAAGGCTAGTGCCACACGAGTTCGCCACCGGGGTCGACAACTGACCCCTGGCAAGAGCGAGGAGTCCGATCCGAGAAATGACAGGGAAGCGGACCAGGGAGGAAGAAGGAACGGAATGCGAAAGAGCCAACTGTTTTGCTATTGCGGGAAGGAGGCGAAGAGAGATCTCTCAGATTTAGGAGGGGTTTGTCAACTTGTTTTAAGTCAATCGATGTCATTGAGGAGTCCAAGAGATGGTTTCCACCTCTGACAGCCTGAGCTCACTGGCGGGTCCTCTAGTTGGAGCGGTTGAAGCGGAAGTGCCTGGAAATGGGGGGATTTGTAGGGCTGGTTTTGCATTTTGCCAGGGGGGTGGAACCCCTTGTGTTGGGAAGATGTGTTGTTTGCTTTTTCTTCTTCCACGGTTCTCCACCCTCCCTTGCCATCTCTTGAGACCCCCAAAGCATGGCGGGCGCCTTGTCTTGGATCGCCTTCGTTGCCTTCGCTTCGCGACACAGCATTCTCCTTTGGCTTTCCAATGGCCCTGAGGACTGTATCTTTGGGTTGTATTCAAGAATGCCTGCGGCTGGACGCCTGTGAAGTCAAGACACACACAGGTTTGATTTATCATGCATCTTACTTGGAAGATAACCTAAATACATCCATACAGGTCCAAAGATCCGGGACAAACTGGTGCTTTACCTCATTGAGTAGTGTCTTTATATGACCAAGTCCATGAAAACCGATAGTTCGATTGGCCCTGTTGAACGAGAAGAAACTCCAATGCATCAAGTCCCCAATCCATGGAAGAGATGCTCTTCTTTGCAGGTTTTCTGTTCAATCAAGTGCCCTCCAAACATACCAGCACCTTCAAGAGGGCTCACCTGCCTGGTTGGAGGCTTTAGCCCATCCGACTATCCGGGATCGACAGGACATCCCTTTGACGGTTCAGGTAGGAGTTGTGATGTTCTAAGGCTTGGCCTTCCAAAGGAGGACTACTGGTGGTACCGGGACCTGCGCCATGGCCTCAGCATCCCACGATGTTACTGACCGTGTTCGGAGCTTGGGGGCATTGGAGGTATCACGCTTGCGGTCAAAGACCTCTGAAAGCTCGGAAAGAAGGATGGGGTGAAGGTATCATCAACTCCAGTAAAGTGAGGTCAAGCCTCCCGCATCCCAAACTCTTCTTGGCTAAAAACGTCTATGCATCCCAAAGCATGGCTCTTGAGAAGCACAAAAAGGTAGCTTTGTGGGTTAGCCTGTCCGCAGGCATCCCAAACCAGACTCTTACTTCTCAAGTGCCTTTATTGGGGTGTTAGCCCTTTCTTGCCAGCAGTTCTGAGGCGGTTACCAGCATACTAGGCACTTTGATCATTGGTCAACTTATTATTAGTGTGTGGATGTCATTGGTGTTTGGGTAGCGCCCCAGATCAGTGTACTGACCAAAGGCTTTTGACGGATGTTTTGGCTGGTCAACTTCCATGAAGGTAGATGATGGTTTGCAACCCCTTTCGAAAGGGTAGCAGTAGACACAGCCAAATAAGGAACAATGTAACCTGCAAGGCTAAAACATGTTAAACAATAGCACGATCATCCAAGACAACACACATGCATCTAAAGGCTTTAAACTAATGATAACCCCAGACCACCAAAAAGGTATTCTTTGTAAAAAGCAGATAGATAGGAGCCTTTTTCCATGCAGATCTCAAGCACCCTTCCAATCCCTTCCACTTCTTCACTGCGTGATGGGAGGAAAACAACGCCAACCAAACAACCAACCACCCAAAAGAACACGAGCCAACCATCTCCAGATCTCCACCTTCCGATCTCCCGATCGAAACCGCTCCGGGGGCGTCAGACCCACCACCCGCAAGGGACCCGGCGTCCGCTCCGCTCCGCTCCGCTTCGCTCCGGTCGCGTCCGGAGGTCGCTACGGCTCGGTGCCCCACGCGGGCTTCGGCCTCGGCTTCGAGCGCCTGGTGATGCTGGCCACGGGCGTGGGGGAGCTCGGGACCGTGGAACGGACGGTCAGCGGGCTGGGTGGGGGAGGGGAGGGGTTTGGATAGGGAAAACGGTGAATGGTTTTGGTGGATTGGTTGAGTGGGTCATAGTCGGTGATTTCGTGGGTTTGGAAGAAGGAGGAGGGGTGGTTGGTCTGGTTGCGGATGAAATGGTATGAACTCAAGTAATTACAACAGTGAGATATGGACCATATACAGCTCGAGTAGAAGAGCAGCTCAAGTGCATGAAGTCCCGCAAGGGTACTGACCACTACTAGGTGGATTCTTAGATACGGCAGTGAGTCAGCACCTTTTATTGCTAAATCATGTGCTTACCATTTGGCCAAAAGTCATGAGGGGTCTACAGACCCCATAGATTCGTGCAATGAATGAAGTGATGTTTGATTTTGAAGCCATGCACCGGAAACCTGTGCGACCACTGCAAAAATGATGCATATAGGGATCCACTTGGAGGGTGGCAGTGGGTCCATAGTGTAGACTGATGATGAATACCTCCTTGGAGCCTGAAAAGATTTTACAATCTAAGTCTAGGGATGTGACCTATTTGGGCTCCTGTCCCAAAAGAAGGTGGTTGGCGTAGGTGCCAGAGGGGTCAGTCCCTAGCTTCTTTTCGTATGTGGGACAGGAGCCCAAACGGGTGAGTTCGCGAGAAGTCGTCCGGTTTCACTGTTTTCATGGGAGGTTGAAGGTGAGTTTACCCGACAGCTGAGGTGCAAAACATCCGCGACGTGATCCCCTTCCCGCGCTACCCGGGCCTGGGAGACCCAGTGGGTAGCTAGCAAGCCGACCGTCGGGGTCAGTGCCGACTCCCTGGAGCGCTTCGGGTTTGAAGTGTTTCAACAAGCTCCGTGGGCGCGCGGCCAACAACAATTGGGCAGATTGCCTGGCAGGTGCTTGTGACCCTCATTGTTGATGCTGCCCTATCTCCGTTTCTGTTCATGGTAACGGGGTTCAACTGCTCAGAGAAGCAAGTCCTGTGACCTTCAAACTTGTGTTTGGATTCAGTTGTGCCATAGATCCAACAGCTCTTCTCTTTTTGGTACATGCCAGTCACATACTGCAGGATGCAACTGCATCTACAACTATCAAGAAAGTGCTCCGCAATGAAAGCACCAGGGAACGCATGAGACGAAGCGGCACCGTGTTCATGCGCCCAGGTCACGCAGAGTTCTGACGCCAACTTCGACCCCATTTTCGGCCAGCGGCTGGAGCCCATTTTCGACCGGCCCATCTTCGGATCGTTTTCGCAGCCCAAAAGGATGCACACGGCACTGGGTGGGGAGGAAGACATGTCGGACTGAGGTAGATCCACACTTCAGAAGTCTCAAGTAGCTCGAGCAGCCGGCGTCAAGTGCTGGAATGGTGTAAGCAGAACAAGTTAGACAGACTTTAAACGATATACTGATACTGATCAAGATATACCCTACTACTGTTGAAGTGCTGGCTCAAAGTCCGGGGTGTCTATGTGCAGTTTAGGATTTGATTGCTTGGCCTGAGCCATCCCACTTCCCCTCGTCCCCTCCACGCATGCGATATCTTTCTGGGAGTGAAGGGATTCAATTAGATTATTTTGAACATCCATTCAGCAAATTGACTCATGCATTTCTTCAGACAAAGCTGTCTCTTCAGGACTTCGACATGACACTCGTGTAGTCACTCGTGTTTCTTTAAACGCAGCCCATTCCGATCTGAGCCAAGATGTTTTTGCACCTTTTGGAGAAACATTCTCAGGGCACGCCGGTGAAAACCGGAGGGCACGCCACTTCTCTTTTGGCCCCTCCAGGACACCAAAGTTCGACCAAGGCCACGCCATGTCCGAACCCAGCTGCTTGAGCAAGTAGCTGAGAAGATTCCCTGAATCTAGGATGCTCCTGATTGGCAAAAGTCAGACATTTTGGTGAATGAGTTGCTAAAAAGACACCTGAGGAGCACTTAAAGCTCTGCAGACAAGGCAGAACAGCAGCACAACGCACCATGGACCCGAGTTCCCCCCACTCCACCTGGTATCACAGTGATCCCCAGGTAGCCAGCAGATGTAGGCCCTCAATGTTCAAGTTCGAAAGCACAGACATTCTTCCTTTATCCGGATGGATTCCAGAGAAAAGTCCGATGGCATCTTGGCCGCACTGCGCTTGGAATGCTTTGGGATCTGCATGAGGGGCGGGCGACCCAAGTATTTAAGCTCATTTGGACGACGTGCCCAAATGGTGGATGGCAAGCTGCAAGTGCTACACATGTCTATGCCAAGCTTCACCAATAACTTAATTATACTTAAGCTTTACTGTAACCATTGGGGGATTCATTTCTTGACACACCAGAGTGTCGCGGGCACACCCTCGTGGTGCGACAGACATCTCCAACCTCCCGGGATGGCCCTGGCCGATGGCGATCGCCGGCCTCGGGTCCAGGGGATTTGGACACGGAATTCGGGCTCAGACTTCTACTTATGACCGACCTTCGCTGCGAGATGGTCCTCTATAAACATCTATAAACATGATAATTTACACCCGGGAAGATTAACATGGAACCTGAGTTAATGGAACTTTAAAAAACCTTTTTCCCTCTACAACCCTGTTGTTTTCTGGTTCCATGTTAATTTTCGAGGGTGTAGTTTAGTTTACCCATGTTGCTATGGCGCCCAAGTAGCCGCCACAGGCCTTTTCCTCTATCGGACGCGCGCGAGCAGTGCTGAGTTGAGGTGCTTACCAGAAGCTCTCGGATGAAGTCCAGGAGTCGGGAGGGGTTAGTGAATTTGTTGCGTGTCACCTTTGACGAACTGTGAATCTGTTGCTGCGCACTGCTGCGCACCAATTCATCCCGTCTGGTGATCTGGAAAACATGCAGAGGTCATTGTTGCTCTGAGGGGGCCCCTTTTCTCACGTAATGGCATATTACTGTATATTTGTACCTAGCACTTCCTGTACGGGTGCCCTGCCTGGAGACCTGTTTAGACCTGTTTACGTAGGGTAGGGTAGTTGAACGCCAGGACACCCAGACAGGATGATCCTGGTATATATCTTATACCCAGACACTCCATGGGACTGCCATATATGCCTACATTGACCCCCGTTCAACCACCCTAACTGATCGGCAGTCCTATGGCAGTCCCACGGGTCGTGTTTGGGATATATTACTCATAGGCCCTTGACCAGTGACCGGTTCTTTAGACCCATCGACCACCCATCCACCACCCAAAGGACGAGGTTTTTTTATTCCTACCGTCCGACGTCCAAGGGGTTCGTTCCGGTAGTGTTCTACGTAATATAAATGTATATAATAAAGGGTCTTTTGTTTTTTTGGGCGGGGGAGATGTTGCACCACATATGTTGCGTGTGTATTGCAATGCACTCAGAGAGAAGCAGGGGGAAAAAGACCATGGTTCCAGCTTGCATTGCTTAAGATTTGATTCCAATGCCATAGGTCATAAGTCATATAGATCATATAGGATGTCAATAGGATGTCATAGGGTGGTGTTCAAACTAGTTGTACCAGCCACATTTCATAGTTAACTGGCTTCACAGCTTTTGCCGGTGGATCCATGGATCAACGGACGGGCGGTTCCGGGTCGGCCGGCGCTAGGAAGCAGGCGACCCGAGAGAAACGCGCGGCTTGCCGGTGCTGTGCTACGTGATTTTTCTGGGTACCTTCGAGCTGCTGGGATCGAACCCGCGTTCCAAGCGGCGCAGGGCCGCAGGGCGGAGTATGGGGGGAGGGCACTGGGGGTCCAAACAGTTTTTGAACCGAACACCGCGGGTTTCGGCTTGTTCTTACTTGGCAGAAGCCTCAGAAACCTGCAGAGTGTGAGTGATTCCAGCGGTTTGAAGCCTCAGAATTCGCAAGTTGTCTACATGGATCATCTGCTGGGCCCTTCTTGACGACAAGTGGGGGGTCAGGCAACGGACCCCGCGGACACCACGTTCTTCGGGGATGAAGGTCCCTCCTTCTCTTTGCTCCCTGGCTAAGGTGGGGGATGGTCATCCCCACCTTATTCCCCTTGCTGCAGCGCATGGACGCGCCTGCCACGTGCGCCTGCGATCCGTGGGGCAGAGGATGGCTTGAGGGGTGTCACTTACAGCCACCAACCTTCGGTGCTTGTGTGGCATGACTTCTGCCAAATAGTGCAAGATGAAAACGCGGATGCTTTCCCTCTGGGGGTCATTTGTCCAGAATAGATCAAGACTTCGGGGAATCAGCCGAACGATGGCAGTTTGTCAATGTAATGATGTAATCATGGAAGTGGAACACCACCTGGTTGGTATTTGAACAGAGTTTTCCTCGCAGGCCTTTGCCGTCCACTTCCATATGAGTCTTGCAGGGAGGAGCAACAAGCTTCCCTGCCCTAAATAAGACTCCATGTATGGATTAAGTATGCCTGCATTGACCCCTGAAACCGTCTCAATTGATTGGCCACTTGTGCCAGTCCCATGTGTCGTGTCTTGGCTGTGGATCTGCCACTCCTTTCGAGGTACTTCGGGCTCATCATTGGGACCTTCTCCTTGACCAGGATGCTTTGCCAACCGCCACTGGGCCAATGCAAGGTGAACAAATGCAGTGCAAGATATGAAGCACCAACCTGGACTAGTGACTATATAGATCAGACATGGAGCCTGAAAACCACTGGTTGGGAGAGGAAGTAATCTTCCAGCGGAGAAGCAACTCTATTGACTGGTGGTTTGGAGTGACATCCGTACTGAAGTAAGCAGGTATCCGTAGATACCCATAGGTATCCATCATATCATATTTGCATATAACATGTACATATACATCTATACATTACGACTCACTAGCATGGAAGTGGAAAACCACCCGTTTGTAAAGGAAAACAGCCTTCCAAGCAACCATTTTCCACTTCCATGTTAGTGAGTCAGAGTGTAGTAATATTTGCCTAGGAAACTGTGCACCAGCAAGTTCCAGAGCCCATCAGCCATGGAAGAAGATTTGGCACCAAACTGAAAAAAGACGTTCAGTCTCCAATGTGGGAGACCCGTCCATCACCATTTTTACTTAACATCTTGAATCTTATCTGCCGTCGAGATTTCAGCTTCTCAATGGGGTGACGCTCCCAGTGAACAAGTATGGGCAAGTAATGCAAAATGTGACCCCATGAGAAAGATATCTTTTCTCTACAAACAGGTGGCTTGCACTCCACTTCCCAGTGTTTTCCTCAGGGAGCATCCAGTTTTGCATCAAGGAATGGTCGATACATGTAAATACTTCCACTTGGCAAATCAAGATCATCAAGAGGGTGACACCACCACCCTACGAAGCCAATTCCTGACCAGATTGAAACCCTTCACTTTATGTTTGCGGACATGTTTCCTGAGACTCAGGTTGGTTGGTGCTTTGGGTGATCGATTTGACTTTAAGGCGCTGATGGTGGCATTTCTGAAAATGAACTATTCTTCAGAGAAAAAACTATGCTAATGCTTAACCACTCTGAAATCAGCAAAACAATCAAAACTGTGTTTGTTTAGCCTAGCAGACAGCCTAGCAGAAAGACTGTGAAAGACTGGTAGCTTATGTAAGTAAATATTCCATTCCGATGGAGTGCTTGAGCATGGAAAAGAACACTGGCTCTTGTCCCAAGTTGGGACACGTCAATGGTGGTGTGGATATCACTGGTGAGTCTGAAGGGGGGCTCAGATCATGTGCCTCGACCCACTGGGCTTCTGAAAGGTCGTCCGAGGGTCTCAGAGTACAGTGGTCTCAGAGTAGATGGCACTGGCACCCCGACAAGTCTTTCAGCTGGGGGTCCATATGAACCTCTTTTTGGACCATTGAGCCATTTGCTCTCAATCCACTACAACTGCGCACTAATTAATTTTCCATGGTGCTTCTCCGCAATGCTGGCTTCAGCCGATGTCGAAACATGTCCTCCATGTCGGGCGCGATTGAAGCCGACTTGCCAGCGGCCTCGCAGTGAAAGAAGTGGGTGCTGCCCGCAATTGAGGCGTCCTTGGATGTGCTCTTCGACCTGTAGTCCCTGGGTCAAATAATGGATATATACCTTCGAAGTCCAGTTCGACTATATTACCACCGAAGAAAAGGAATTTCCCGAACTCGGATCACCTAGTCAGGTAATGTTTAAAATGGTCTCGGCCTTCCAGGGTGTATATAATATATATATATATATACATGCTCTCCCACAAACTAACATGGAACCAGAGAATTGACCGGCGGAAGACGGTGGAAGACATTTTCCTTGGCAACCCAGTCGTTTTGGGTTCCATGTTAATCTGCAGAGGAGTATTACTAAGCCACCACGAGACATAGCTGCTTTCCTCGTGTGGCCGGATGAGAGTAACACTTGCACCTCTTCTCGTGGCGTGCTTGGGAGCGTTGAGGTGCGAGGATGAGCACGATGAGCTTGGCGCTTCTGCTGTGGAGCTGTGTGCAGTGCCTAGTCGCGCTAAATTCAGTGCATCGCCGGTGTGCGCTTGAATCGGGAGTATCTGCAGAGACCCCGGAGACCCCTGGCTGGGTAGACTGGACTGGACTAGTTCCTTTTTTCAAGGGGTCGGAACGCCTGGGGTCTCCCGATTTTAATTCACACTGGGGCGACTGAGAGTCACCGGTGGCGTATCCCGTTCTTCCCCCTGAAGCAGCGAGCTGTTTGGAGCTACAGGGATTTCCTGGGTTAGCCAAGGAGCCCCTAAAATTTGTTCAATCCAACTGGCTTCAGCCCGGGAGCAGGTTGGGACATGGTGGGACATGTGCCTAACAGTCTGGAAAGGACAGGCGACGGTGATGAATGTGGGTCATCCAATTCCTTTGGCCACTTCGCCCCCGGCCGCCAGTGGCCACATTCCGGGCAGTCACAGGAGAGTCAGGGGCGGGTAGCGAGCCAGCCAATACCACTTGTTTGACTTGCTGATTTTGGGAGCTGGTGGTTCGGAGGTGGCTGTCAGGATCTTGGGGGGTACGCATGTCTTCCTTGAAGCAGGAAGTTCCCTAACCAGTGGTGACCCTCCATCCAACAACCATGGAAGCTGACCAGGACCCCCTTGTGGAGACAACACTGCCTTCCAAGGGCTGAATTATATTCAGCTTCCATGATTGTTTCATGGAGTGTAGTCCATTAAATGCATCCCATTGCAATCCCCCCTGTAGACTAACCAACACCCCTGAGAATTGATCCGTGGTTTCGACCAATTTCCGAAGACCAACCCAGTGGTTTTTGGGGGTTTCCATCTTACTCCGCTTCCAGCGCTCACTCCGTGGTTCACATGTCCAGGACCGCAGCTGCCGAGCGTGAGGACGCCTCCCTGCTGCAGAACCGGGCGCAGAAGGAGCATGTGATCCCCTGCATCATCCATCAGAGCCTCAGACTTCAGTAGAAAGAGGCACTTCCTTTGATTCATACGCTGCCTTGCATGATCCACTCTATCCCTCTCCATCCACTATTTGCCTTCACCTGGTGAGGTGCCACGCCCCAACCAATCGACCGTGCGGCGGGTTCTGCCACGTGGTCGTCGGATGGACCAAGCCCCGACGCACCGAGGACTGCGCCGACACACCAGCTGGAAGGTGCCTACAAAGGATGGTAGAAAGTATGTCCAAGACATCTTTGGAGTGGCGCTATATCGGATATTATCGGATATCGTATGGATTCGTATGGCAAACTACAATAGCATGAAGGCGGCCTACTATACCTGTTTTTTTAAATCCACATTAATTTGGGATCGCCTTTTTCAGTTTCACTTACACCTGGGCACATGTGCCGGACTCTCGACCTCCCGCGCGCCTGCGGCCTTGCATCCATCGGAAGACGGTGGGTTCGGGATGACCGGAGGGCCAGTTGGCAAAGGATTATCACGATGTTTTGAAGCCTTTATACTATCAATATCTATGGCACTCATCATCCACTATCATCCACTGAAATAATGGGATGTGGTTAGGAACTGTTAGGAATGATCTATGCCCAAACGGGCTCCAGTCGTACCTTCGTTTCGAAGGTGGGACGGGAGGCCCGGGTGCCATTGTCGGGTCCAGTCATACCTTCGTTTCGTTTCGGTAACCTCCTGCAGCCCAGACGAGATGATGCTTTGAGGTAAGGCCGTTTGGCTCGAAGCTGCAGGTGATGAGGCCAAGTGGGTCCAGACGTGGAAGACGAAGAACCCCTACTGCAAGCACAAGCTTTGGAATGCCGCTTGGTGGGCTGGGTCCCGAACGGAGGATGTCTTGTCCCGAACTGGGTGGATCCCCTTCTGGATGTTGTTTTGTTTTTGTTTTGTTCTCTCCGGTTCCTGGATGAATACTAAAACGACTGGAGCAAAAGAGGGGGGGGGCCCTTTTCCAAGCCAAGTTGGAGCATAAGGGGAGCAAATGCAAGTTGGATATATAACATGGAGCAAGAGGGGGCCTTTTCCAAGCAAAACGACTGCCTCAGGCACTCCATGAGGCACTCCATGAGGCACTCCGTGAGGATCCCCAAACCACGAAAACGGCTCCTCACGACATGCGACCTGATGCCCCCGACTCGAAGCGTCAAACGCGCCGCAACATGCTACGATGCTAAACATCAAAGGAACTCTTCTTAAAACGGTTGACTTCAATCCAAAATGCAAGATGCAAAATATACATCAACAAATATACAACATATATAACGACACATTTCAAGACATATTAACTTCAATCAACACTGCAAAATACAACACTGATACACTTCAAGCACCACACAATAGCGTTCCCATTTTGGTGTCTTCAGGACACTGAGATCGCCGCGCTGGCGAAAGAGAAGTCGCCGGAGCTGCTGTGGCCCATCTGGGAAGGGCTGAGCAATGTGGAGCGTGCGGACGTCTTCCGGTACTTGGTCCTCTGGGACCAAGGAGGTTTCTGAGATTCTTAGCAACGCAAGTAGGGTCCAAGATGATCCGGAGGATGCCCCGCAAGCCCCCCCCGACAACCACCATTCTTTGGTTTCGTACGAACTCACCTCCAAGGCCATGCGAAAAGGAGGTACCTGGACCCTATGGGCAAGGATTTGGGCTGGGCTGGAGAAAGGGAGAGAAAGGGATATGAGGCTTAAAGCATTTACCCTGGGAGTTCCAAGACTAGTTGAAACAAGTTGTGCAGCTTGGTGGCCTCTCCGATTTTAGGAACTTGGGGAGGCGCAGAATACTTGGGGAGAAAATGCCCAGGAGAGGCATCATCGTAGCTAATCACTAGCCTAGCCGCTAGCCCACATCTTTTTTCAGTGTTAGCCGCCCTCCAGTTCAAAATGGCATCCGAAGTGGTAGACCAGTCCATCTTCACCTTACCATGATCCCAGCATTACTCCTGGTATCTTGAGAGCACCACATGGCCCCCGAGGCAAACATGGAGCCGTGGAGCCTTCGGAACATCACTCACGGGACAATCCGAACTCACGGCCGATTCTCCGTCCACGTGGACCAGGATTGTTTTAGGGAAGTGCCATGTGTGTTTTGTCCTCATTTGTTCCAATCAAGCAACCTGTCACCTACGTAACCTCTACATAGCCCTGGCGGAGCTCCCGCATGGCAGCTCCAACTTCTCAGGGAGTGTATTCCGCATGAGCACTTCCCAGCTGCCATAGCTGCCAGGTTACTACGCGGACACGGATGCCGCCTGTGTGAGACCCATTGCGACGTGGGAGGTGCCGAGGAATGCCAGCCGCTAGGAGCGGAAATTGCGACGGTGGGAGTCCCAGAATGGCTCATCTTCAGGAAACCCATAGGTCTGAGGCACAAGATGCTAAAAGCAGAAGCGGTTTTAGTGAAGCATCTTCAGGAAACCAGTAGTTAATCATAGTTCTTGGGTACAATATGATCTTTGAAAGCAGAAGTGGCTTTTGGGACACCTCCAAGAAACCCATACTTTTTGGTGTAAAAGACCATGGTTTTCTGCATGTAGATGTTCCCTTTAAACCAATCCATTGAGGGATTTCTGGCATCCGAGGTGGCCTGAAGAGGTCAATTAGCTCCAAAGCTTAGGTACCGCTGTGGGCACCTACCCAAGCGTGGTAGGTAGCAGCACCACCCAGTCGTACACCCAGTCCCAGTAGGTTCAGAGTCGATGGCACAATCACCAATGTCGGTGGTTGAGACGGAGCCCTATCTAAAGGACATCTTGGGGTGCCAATGCCACCGAACCTCTGAAATCACTGTAGTACACTTTCGATGTTCACTGCAGATACGGTGTGCGCGGCGTTTTGTGCTGCTTTTTGCCCCCCGCCTCAACTGCATTGGCTCATTCTTCGTCAGTTTCATGGTAATTGTCAGCTTCATGCTTCTCATCGGCTAGACCTCGGCTCCTTCTTCATCGGCTAGGCCTGCATGGTTCTCCTGCTCCATGCTCCCTGTTGTTTGCCCAGGGAGGGTGCCCCTGGTTCCACATACCCAGACCAG